ACTTGTCAACTTGATAAACCACAAAAATTTGGTCTCTTTGCTGGCTTAGAAATGTTTGGTGGATGATGTGGCAGTGGTTTTGCACACGTAGCGGCACCAACCAGCATTTTTGTGAAAGAAGCTGGTAATAGGAAAGGGAAGACGAATAAGAATAAGAATACTTGTTAAATCATGATAAGCATTCTAGATGGGAGCGAATAAGAATGATATTTAATCATGATAGATATCCTAGGAAGAGACAAGAATATGGGGGTGTCAGAAAATTGAGAAAATAACAATAACGCAACGAGAATTCCCAGTGGACGAGTGTCTGTAACATGTCTTTTTTGTCTATAAAATGTGCAATGTCTTTGGATTTTAAACATCTTTCCGTGACTCGGATCTTGTTTCCGTGGTATCTTATTTCTTAATATATGAATTCCTTGCCCGTTTTTGAAGATTTGTGTGTTGTGTGAATTTGTTTGAAATAGAGCCGACGGCGGCCGATGGGCGTGCCGTCCACCAGATCACCTCTCTTTGCAGTATCGATCGATCAGGTCAGGTCAGGGACCAAACATGCCCAGTTTAAATCGTACGTGCGGGTCAACTGTCAACGCAACGCAGGGAAGAAGACGTGTCTTCTTACCACCGACGACGACCTACTCCCCTCCCCCCTCCCCTGCGTGTAGTCTACTACGTATGCTACCTAACCAGGTACCCCTGCCGAACACGAACAACACCAGCCAACGACGGCGACGAGCGACCGAGCGAGCGGGAGACGACGACAGGTGCCGCCGCTGGCTCGATGGCTGGGCTGGCTGTAGGACGGTGAAGTCAAAGGCGGAGTATAGGCGGCACGGCGTTGGATTGATTGTGCGGCAAGCATGCATGGCCATGGCCATGGCGTTTCCCACCGACGGAAAGGACTCTTGAATGCTACGCGGTTTGGCTCGCTGGACCCCGCCAAAAAGGGCCAACTGTACGTGCAACGCCGCTCCAGTCGGCGGCGTCCGGTTGGATTTTACTTACCGGAGTAATCTCCGGCCGCGTCTCCCGGAATGATTGATCGTCCACGCCTGCCAGAAAAAGCCTAACTTTCGCCCTCCTCTGCGCGCTTATAATCAACTAATCCCAACGGCCGTTCACACGACTCTTGCATTGCCTACTATACTATAGGAGCATAAAGATATGTTGCTACTCTTGAGATTCAAATAAGCGCCACAGTTTTGTGATAAAAACCAGCGATGCGAAATCAATTTTGCGGCAAGCAAATCACCCATATCGAATCGCGTAATTTCTCTACTAGTTTACATTGATTGATGTAGGGGAACGGTGGTTGCGGTGGTGTTGGCTCGTTGTAATCTTGATGGCGTTTGATTATCGAAGGGGCACCGCCGTAGTTACACTCGTCGTAATCCTTATCACCCACCGCTACGGTGCTTACGGCAGATGAGGTCTCCTCCCCTTGGCGCAGGTCGAGAGAGATGGGCTGGCGAGATCTCATTAAGCACTGTTCGAGAGCAAAATATGACTTATGATGTCGGCCGTGGCGGCATCGATGACCCATTGGTGTAGATTCACGCCGATCTCTTGGCGGTACAATTAGGGTTTGCAGGGTTTTGTCGGTATGGTGATAATGACGACTTTCCTATGCGGTCTGGTCTTTCGGTTCCCACTTCGTTACATTGGTGCCATCCTTCGGTGGAGTTTTGTTTAGCAGTTTTGCTAGAACTCATCTAGATGAGATATAATTTGGTCTCATTCACCTTTTATAGCCATTGGATGTGATGCTATAAGATGCGTGTGTGCTGACGTGGATTGTATTTGTTCTTGTTTTCAAAGTGAATGAGACCAAATTATATCTCATCTAGATGAGTCCTAGGTACTCCCTTTAGTTTAGAGGTTATTAGGATATTTCGTGTATGAATCTTTCGGCATTTTGACAAAAAAAAACTTTCGGTGACAATTTATTCTTCGGGAGGTTGATCCGACATAAATGCCTTTTTATCATTATCGACCTCTCTTTTTTAGGTCTATCTATATGCATTTGTTGGTTTGACCCGTAAAGTCGGGCCTTTTCTAAAAAGGAACTCATGCGAACAAACATGTGTTTGAATGGTTAGTAGGAGATTGGTATCCCCAACCCATCAGGGTTCAAGTCTTGGTGCTCGCATTTTTCTAGATTTATTTCAGAATTTTCGACGATGCATTTTTCAGTGGGAGGAGACGTTTTACGAGGCGCCTTCAATGACTTCGTCAGTCTCAAAATGATATGCCGGCTCAGTCTCTCGAAGGTGCTCATAAAGGTAGTGATGAGTGTATGCGCGTATATACAAGAGCTTGCATCTGTGCTGGGTTTAAAAAAAGATGATTTGTCGGCTCAACCTTTCAGAGATGCTCACAGGGACAGCCAAACAAGGTATGCGTTCATAGGGATAAGTGTATGCGTGTGTATATAAGCTCGTCTACTTTGTATAATCCCATCTTAGGTAGTACGACCACTAGGTGCACGCCACCAGTAGACGTGCTCGGCTAAGCTAATGATCCTCATCCCTAAATACGTGGCCGTGGTACTTCTACTATTTGATCAATGTACTCCCTCAGTATAAAAAAATATCAGTGTTAAAAAGGCCTAATATTTTGGTAGGGAGCAGTAGATTGGATGCCTTTTCCTATAGAATTATACTGTACATCTCATTTTTGCAAGGTAATATGTGTCTCATTTATATCATAAAGATCATTGTATAAGTCACGTACATACCGACCTGAAAAGACATCAGAACGGTAGCCTTTGCACACAGAAACACCAGCCAAGAAGTAAAATTACAGACAAGACTGAAGAAACCTCTGAGCTTGACACCAACGTCCGTCACCTGCCTCTGGCACCACCATAGCAGCCACTAAAGGAGAAAATGACGGATCACCTTCACACCCGAGCTCGAGGCGGCTCCATTGCTGATATGCAGCTTTTGCGGACCTCCAAGGTGGCTCGCCAATAAAAGCGAAGCCATTGCCGTTGAACGAATCAGACCGGGGCAACACCCCGGACACGTCGTCGAACTCCAGATCTGGCACCCCTGCCCAACTAAGACGTTGGAGGAGGAAACCATACCTGCCTGCCACAAACCACGAACCTAAATCCACCATCTTCCAGATACCGTCGATGCAGACCACAATCTGCATCTGCTCCTGGACTACCTCCCAAGCTTCACGCCGGCGCTGGAGCAAACGCCATCGCAACAGCGGAGCCCGAGGACACAAGTCCACCACGAGAATGCCGCCGCCGCCGCACCATCCTTACTTCAACAGTCTGGTTTCCAAATCCACCCCAAAAGCGGATCGCCTCGTTAGAAAAAGATCTGAAGATTTATTAGTCGGCGCACCACCGAAGCCATGACTATGAGCAACCCAAAATCCTAAGGCCTTATACAATGGAAGGTGCTTAGAGAAATAAATCAGACTTTTCTTAAGCACCAGTGCTTATTTGTACAGGATAGACGCTTAACTAAGCGTCTCTCCTGTAGAAATAGGTACCGGTGCTTCAGAAAAAACTCGGTTTATTTTTCTAAGCATCTTCCCTAAACACCTTTCATTGTACAAGGCCTAAGAAACTAATGGCTAAAACAGTCCACATGCGTGGATCCGATAACCCCCCTCACCACTGTCGGCCAAGGTCGTCCGTGGAGGGGAGCCGCCGGAGGACCGCGGCGGAGGAAGGCGCCCTGGCGGCAGGAGGTGAGATCGCCTTTCTTTCTGCGTATGCTGGAACATGAGAGGGAGGGGGGTTGAACAGGAACTGTATATCTCATTTTACCTGTCAGGATCACTACGTGCACGCCACGAGTAACGTGCTCGGCTTCCCTAAATACGTGGGCCGTGGTACGTGGAGCATTTACAGTACGGTGCTGGATTTACTGCGCGCGCGCGCGTGTATTGAGGACTTGAGGTGAGCGTCCCACCAACCTGCTCCGCCGACAGCTAGCTCATCATTGACACCGAGAGCCGAGCCGGCTCCCACCACCACCACCCTCCGCCTCCACCTCCGCCCCGCTCGCTCCTCCGCATTATTATCACCCGACGCCCCTCCCCTCTCCCCTCCCTCCCCTGCTCGCCAACGCGCGGCAGCAGATTCGACCGTCTCCCCACCCTCTGCCTGTGTATTTTTCCTCCGTCCTCCTTGGCGCTGAGCAGGGAGGCGCGCGGGGAGCTGCGGGCGGGCGGCGGCGATGGAGAAGCCGCGGGCGATGCTGGCCCTCGCGGCGGCGCTCGCGCTGCTCCTCTCCTGCTCCGGCGTCGTCGTCAGGGGCCAGGACACCGAGAGGATCGAAGGTGTGTACCTTTCTCCTATGCGCGATTCAGCTGGAGAGAGCAAAAAAATGCTCGCTTTTCCTTTCCAGCCTTTGATGCTCTGGTAGTCCTTACTGTTCTTCTTCCTGCTGGCGCAATGCTTGTGCCACCGAGCTCGATTGATCCCCAAAAATCCGCGGTTCCTTGTGCGTTTCCGCTGTGCATGGGATCTGATTTGGGGGCATCAATCCGTACTGCTTTTGGAGCGAATCCTGCTGGTTGGGGTTGGGGAAGAAGGCGGGCGGCATGAGATCTGCGGCCGCTAGACCAATTCGCCCAAGATCTCGAAACCCTGATAGGATTTTATTATGCGCCGCATGTTCCGACTTTGGTCACCGACAGGGAGAGCATGTCTGACTTTGTAGATAAGCATGGGCGCCTACCTCAATCACCAAACTTTAGACATTACTGCTTACTGTATTATTAAACCTCCCTGCGATTATGGACTGGAAGTCTAAATTGTCTGTTGCGTTGCCATATACTCTACCAACAGCCCACTCAAACTGTTCCATAGCTCTGTAATTTTTAGCTATGATGATTGTGCTGCGGCAGTACTTGGTTCTCATCATGTTTATGGTGGAAATTCAGGGAGTGCTGGTGATGTGCTGGAGGATGATCCCGTTGGGAGGCTCAAGGTGTACGTCTACGAGCTCCCCACCAAGTACAACAAGAAGATGGTGGCCAAGGACTCCAGGTGCCTCAGCCACATGTTTGCCGCCGAGATATTCATGCACCGGTTCCTGCTGTCGAGCGCGATCCGGACCATGAACCCGGAGGAGGCCGACTGGTTCTACACTCCGGTGTACACGACCTGCGACCTTACTCCGTGGGGCCATCCCTTGCCCTTCAAGTCCCCGCGGATCATGAGGAGTGCGGTTCAGTTCATCTCATCACACTGGCCTTATTGGAACCGGACGGCGGGAGCTGATCATTTCTTTGTCGTGCCGCATGACTTTGGGGCATGCTTCCATTATCAGGTGAGTCATAGAGCACACATGGGAAACCTGAATCTTCCTACTATATATTACCACTGAATCATGGAATGGATATACTTTGCACACTTGTACTACCATGGGCTTCGACAACTGTTCATTCGCTTATGTAGCCTAGTCTGCATTTTATGTTAGATATTTGGAAACAAACTGCATGCTCTGTTCTAGTAGAATCTTTCTCTGACATGCATTTGGCATTGCCGTGGTTCAGGAAGAAAAGGCGATTGAACGGGGGATCCTTCCATTGCTTCGCCGCGCTACACTTGTCCAGACATTCGGGCAGAAGGATCATGTCTGCCTAAAGGAGGGCTCAATCAATATCCCACCATATGCTCCTCCCCAGAAAATGAAAACTCACCTTGTTCCCCCGGAGACCCCGCGTTCCATCTTTGTGTATTTCCGTGGTTTGTTCTATGATACGGCGAATGATCCCGAGGGTGGTTACTATGCAAGGTATGCACATCTGAAACATGTGGTACTCCTCATAATCATCATTCTTAATGGATTATTGGGGCACAAAAGTCTTGACGTACCTTCTATGTATGCAATACAGAGGCGCCCGTGCCTCGGTGTGGGAGAACTTCAAGAACAACCCTCTGTTCGACATCTCGACGGACCATCCGCCCACCTACTACGAGGACATGCAGCGCGCCATCTTTTGCCTGTGCCCTCTAGGCTGGGCTCCGTGGAGCCCCCGTCTCGTGGAGGCCGTGGTGTTCGGGTGCATCCCGGTGATCATCGCGGACGACATTGTGCTGCCCTTCGCGGACGCCATCCCGTGGGACGAGATCGGCGTGTTCGTCGCGGAGGACGACGTGCCCAAGCTTGACACCATCCTGACCTCCATCCCCATGGAGGTGATCCTCCGGAAGCAGCGGCTGCTGGCGAACCCGTCGATGAAGCAGGCCATGCTGTTCCCGCAGCCCGCGCAGCCCGGTGACGCCTTCCACCAGATCTTGAACGGGCTGGCGCGGAAGCTCCCGCACAGCAAGAGCGTGTACCTGACCCCGGGGCAGAAGGCGCTGAACTGGACCCAGGGCCCCAAGGGCGACCTGAAGCCATGGTAGGTAGCCGCGGCACCGGCATTGGCGCCATGAGCTGATGATGTTCAGTCGGTCTGAACCAGCTGAGAGGACTGATGGATGAGTAAGCCCAGCCAAAACCAAGCCAAGCTAAGCCATTACTGTCATCAAATGTAAAGCTCCTTCCTGTCTAATACCTTGCTTCTTTTTGTTGTGATGATGTGCCTGCCTACCTTCCATGTTATGGCATGGCATGGTTCCCTTGTTTTTTGTTGCCCTAGTGCTAGACTGCTGCTGTTGTAGGTGATCATGGATCATAGAGTGTTATATATATATGCATGACCTTTGTATTATACTGCTATACAGTAGATGCCGATCTGTAATGGCGCGAATAATTAAGTAAGGTTAACAACAGACCGGTCGTATCCGGTGTACAGAGGCAGAGAGATATGCTTGTCGTTGTCAGTGAGCATGTCTGCCGTTTGTATTGTTTGAAGGCAGCACAGTATCCGTGTCATCTCTGGTTGATATCTTGACAGATTTTGTGACACCACAGGGCTTTTATTTGGAACATCAATGTACTGTAGCTTATGTTGATGATGAAGGTAGATTAGAGCCATGGTGAGTACAACTTGCAAGGAACACCGGCACCTGAGAGCTCCAGCTGCAGCAGACCGGACGTTCCATCGATGCATGCTTGACAGTAAAGCAATATGAGCTGCAATGTTTGCGTCCGGATTAACATGGACAAGCGTATAAAAGACTCAGAGCACCCACAGATTTGTTCAATACGGCTTCAGAGTCGAGGATATGCTCCGGGGTGAGCATAATGAGGCCTCTGACAAGAGTACCGGGTTGGGCCACAATGAGAAGCGCGTCCGTGTGAGCCCAAACCATTCAAGACCGGGAACGGTTAACAGAGTCTGAGGCCAAAACTCCAAGATAGATACCGCTCGTCTCCTGCTGATACGTAATGATAAGCCATTAGATCACTAACCAGTTGTAAAAACAAGAAGCGGGGATAGCTCAGTTGGGAGAGCGTCAGACTGAAGATCTGAAGGTCGCGTGTTCGATCCACGCTCACCGCAAATTCAAAAAAAATAAAATTGTCTAATCGTTCATCAGTATTTTTTTCTAAAACAAAATTAGAGAAACCCGGTATGTATCAGCGATTTTTTTAAGTGGTAGCATATCAACAATTTTTTTGTCTAATCGGTCATCAGTGTTTTCTTTAGAAAAAGCAGTTATGTATCAACTATTTTTTAAAGTGGTAATCTTTTTGAAACCTTAACGTGAATTGTGATAGTTTTTTTTTTGCTATTTACTCGATCAAACATCATGCAGACTGTTACTCCCTCCGTTCATAAAGGTAAGTCTTTGTAGAGATTCCACTGGATGGACTACATACGGAGTAAAATGAATGAATCCACACTTAAAATGCATCTATATACATCCGTATGTAGTTCATAATGGAATTTATACAAAGACTTATATTTAGGAACGGAGGGAGTAGAAGAAAGAGAGAGGATTGATTGAATAATTGTTGTATTGCTTGAGCTTCATGGACATATATATATATAGGAGTATAAGGTCATCTTGGAGTACAAGTCAAGGTAGAATAAATCCTACGCTATCCTACGTTTCCTAAATAACCCTTATACTCAACACCCCCCGCAATTGCAACGGTAGTGACGCAGACGGTGAGACTGAAGAAGAATCCGAAGGCAAGCCGAGTTAGTCATGGGCGCAGTAGTGTCGAAGTAGTGGTGCGCCGGGAAGAAGACGGTGTTGACGAGGCGTCGTGCCGGGTTTGCCAAGCTCGGGGACACATCGTGGACGAAGGCACGCATCGGTGTTGCCAGCACCCGGCATGCGTAGACGGACGCAGACGAAGTTGATGAAGCGCCAACCAGGCTTGCCAGGCCCGGGGACACGTCATGGACGAAGGCATGCATCGGTGTTGCCAGCACCGGGCATGCGTAGATGAGTGACCTGCATGAGCTGTATGCCATGTCGAGGAGTCGGAGGGCCAGCAGAGAAGAAAACTCGACGACGGTTGTGGCACCAATCGGCATGGGAGCCGATGTCACCAATGGTGGTCGAAGTAGATGAAGTGGTCGTGGTAGATGATGGTGATGCTAGCGACATGCTGGTGCTGGAAGAAGACGAAGGGGGTGGAAGGGCGGCTATGGGGGTAGCAGCGGCGGCGGACTGACGGCGGCGGCGGCTAAGTTAGTAGCGCGGCGGCGGTGCTCAAAGTAGGCGAGGAGCCTGACGGCGTGAAGAAGACCGGCGCGGATGGTGGCGTTCCCGCCTCAAGGGAGGCGGCGCGACGCATACCACGGGGAGTCGACGCGCGGGGACGGCCGTGAAGGAAATATGCCCTAGAGGCAATAATCAAGTTATTATTTATTTCCTTATTTCATGATAAATGTTTATTATTCATGCTAGAATTGTATTAACCGGAAACATAATACATGTGTGAATACATAGACAAACATAATGTCACTAGTATGCCTCTACTTGACTAGCTCATTAATCAAAGATGGTTAAGTTTCCTAACCATAGACATGAGTTGTTATTTGATTAACGGGATCACATTATTAGGAGAATGATGTGATTGACTTGACCCATTCCGTTAGCTTAGCTCTTGACCGTTTAGTATGTTGCTATTGCTTTCTTCATGACTTATACATGTTCCTATGACTATGAGATTATGCAACTCCCGTTTACCGGAGGAACACTTTGGGTGCTACCAAACGTCACAACGTAACTGGGTGATTATAAAGGAGTACTACAAGTGTCTCCGAAGGTACATGTTGGGTTGGCGTATTTCGAGATTAGGATTTGTCACTCCGATTGTCGGAGAGGTATCTCTGGGCCCTCTCGGTAATGCACATCACTATAAGCCTTGCAAGCAATGTGACTAATGAGCTAGTTGCGAGATGATGTATTACGTAACGAGTAAAGAGACTTGCCGGTAACGAGATTGAACTAGGTATTGGATACCGACGATCGAATCTCGGGCAAGTGACATACCGATGAAAAAAGGAACAACGTATGTTGTTATGCGGTTTGACCGATAAAGATCTTCGTAGAATATGTGGGAGCCAATATGAGCATCCAGGTTCCACTATTGGTTATTGACCGAGAATAGTTCTAGGTCATGTCTACATTGTTCTCGAACCCGTAGGGTCCGCACGCTTAACGTTACGATGACAGTTTTATTATGAGTTTATATATTTTGATGTACCGAATTCGGAGTCCCGGATGTGATCCAGGACATGACGAGGAGTCTCGAAATGGTCGAGACATAAAGATTGATATATTAGAAGCCTATATTTGGATATCGGAATTGTTCCGGGAGAAACCGGGATTTTTCCGGAGTACCGGGGGGTTACCGGAACCCCCCCGGGGGTTATTGGGCCTACATGGGCCATGAGGGAGAAGAGGAGGGCCGGCCAGGGTAGGCCGCGCCCCCCCTCTCCCCCTAGTCCGAATATGACAAGGAGGGGGGGGGGGCGCCTCCCTTTCCTCTTTCCCCTCCCCCCTTTCCTTCTCCACCAAGGCAAGAAGGGGGAGTCCTACTCCCGGTGGGAGTAGGACTCCTCCAGGCGCACCCCTTGGGGGCCGGCTGCACCTCCCCCTCCCTCCTTTATATACGGGGGCAGGGGGGCACCCTAGGACACACAAGTTGATCTACAGATCGTTCCTTAGCCGTGTGCGGTGCCCCCCTCCACCATATTCCACCTCGGTCATATCGTCGCGGTGTTTAGGCGAAGCCCTGCGCCGGTAGAGCATCATCATCGTCACCACGCCGTCGTGCTGACGGAACTCATCCCCGACACTTTGCTGGATCGGAGTCCGGGGATCGTCATCAAGCTGAACGTGTGCTGAACTCGGAGGTGCCATACGTTCGGTACTTGGATCGGTCGGATCGTGAAGACGTACGACTATATCAACCGCATTGTCATAACGCTTCCGCTTATGGTCTACGAGGGTACGTGGACAACACTCTTC